CATAATTTTTTTCTTTTTTTTTCTTGTTGGTACTGGGGATTGAACTCATGACCTTGTACCTACTAGGCAGGCACTTTTATATTAGTATATTTTGTGATCCATGGTAAATACATGCTTTGCAGGAGAATTGATACATATACTTTGCTTTCCCTTCCTTTCCTCCCCATCTTCCTCATCCCTAGATCCCCTTGTCATCCTTTCAAAGATCAGACTCTTTGATTCATTGATCCTTTGTGTTTTTCTTTTAGTCCAAATATATATATGTTTAAAATAATGCTGCTTTGTAAAACCTGTACCATTCAAACACCCAGAAACCAAAGCGGCCAAATATCTTAAAGGCGCTATCTATTTACACTGTTGGTTGGGCTGACGCTGGTGGAAGACTGGTGGAGAAGGCCTCTGTGAGGTGTTCTGGCTACAGAGCCTTTCCTGGGCTCCTCGGGCCTGCTGCAGCCCTCCTCCACAATGTACAGGGCCTTTCGCTCTACCTGGTGTCCACGCCCTATCTGCATCAGGGCTTTGCACACCCCCAGCTACTGTTCCTGCCTCATCCATTGCGCTTCACTACTGATGGCCCAGTACCATGCCCATGCTCTGGGCACTCAGCACCGGCAAAGGGGACACATTTCCTGCACATCTGGTGTGCCCTAGAGAGGACTGCTGAATGGAGAGCCAAAAAAGTTGAAGGTGGCCCTCTTGGCAGAGAAGAAGAGTCAGCTTCCTACAAGTGCTGCTTGGACAGGAAGCGGGGAAACCCACCCTCTCTCCCACTGCCCATCGACTCCCACCCACCAGGCGCACTGAGGGCCAGTGCTTTGTGCTAGCCGGTCGTACTCCACGGACTGTTCGTCCTATAGACATCCTAGGGACTCTCCCTCTCCTTCCAATATTTTTGCAAATAGCTCTTTTGGAAAGCAACTTTTTCTGACGACCCATGCAGTGCACCACCCCGTCCCCGTGCCCGTGTCACAGCTCTCTGCGTGCCCACCACCTGGATTCCCAGCCCTTCAACCTTCTCATCATCATGCTCACTCATTAAACGCGTTGTCTGCTCTGCCGCTGGAATGTCAGCTTCATGCTGGAACCATGGGACTGTCCTGTTGCTGCCATCCCCAGCATTGGGCACGGGGCCTTTGGGGGTCAGTGAGTATTCGTTAATCGAGGCCCAGCCTCCCTCTCATCTTCCTTTCACTAACATAGAGCCGCCAGTCACCTTCTCACCCAAAGCCAGTGCCTCCCCCCGTGTCTGCAATGCAACTCTTCCCGCTTTCTGAGACTTCTATTCACTACGTCTTTTCTCTCCCATGAATTCAACAGCCCCCTTTAGCCACATAATAATTTCTGGTACTACTCATGGGCCTCATTTACGCTAGGCTCTGCTCCATCCCATTAGTTTATTTGCCATAGCCCTGAGAAGGAGCAATGGTTATCTATTCTGCATGGGAAGAAACTAAGGTACAGGGCAGGTGAAGTCTTGCTTGGGGCTACACAGCCACTGAGGCGGGACACCAGGGCCAAGCCCAGTATGCTGGCTGAAGAGCCTAGCTCCTAACTACTCCAAGTAGCATTTAAATACCTGTTTGTTTAACCTTACCTTAAGCTCAGACAAAAGGCTACCTCGATTCTGTATCCCCCTCAGCCTTGTCTCTCTTCTACTCTACCAACTTCTTCAGACTCATCTATGCCAGCTGTTTCTGCACCCCACCTTCCTGCCTGTTCCACTCCAATGTAGTTTATGTGCCTGTTACCCTGTCAGCGATGTTCTTATATGGCCACCTTGCAATGGTGTTTGCCAGTCGCCCTCTTACTTAAACTCCATCCACGTTTGGCAACGGTGGCCACGTCATTCTTCCTGGAAGAAGGATCTTGGGAAGGAGGAAGGATTCTGAGAAGTATCTATACTTTCCCTGGCTTATAGGCCTGGGAACAGTTTTATATGAAAAATCATTCAACCTTCCACTGCCCAGCCTTTTAGAATCCAGTCTTGACCAGCAGTGGGCCTCATGCTGCGGACGCAGTGTTCACTTTGCCGGTCACTTCCCCAGTTTCTATTGTAGAAGAGACATACTGCCTCAAAACCTCAACGGAAAAGCTGGCAGCCCTGGAAACTTCTCATTTCATTCATGTTGCATGGTGTGGATAAATCCGTGCTCTTTAAAGAGAAGCAGGACTTCTGTCGGATGCACCAGGCTTTGCTCTTGAGCCTGCCTGGCGGGGACTTGAAAGGCTCCTGCGCTCCTCCTGACTTTCTTCCCTGTCTTTTGTTTCTCTCTTGATGGACCCACATTCAGTCACAGCATCCCTATTAACACCAGCTGCAGCCTTTTCAAGAGAAAATTCCCAGGGGTTACCTGGGCTGGGGAAGACTTTGAAGTTGCTTTTCTTCTGGGTGTTTGATGTGTCTCCTTCCTGACCCTGCCCGGACCTAGGGAAATGGCAACTGCCTCTGTTCTGGCAGCTGTCACTGAAGCCTCAGGATCTGGTAAAAGAGGGACAGGTGGGACAGTTGGCTGGGGGACTGCAGTTCTCTTTCCCCATGGCCTCTGGCTTCACAGCCCTGGACACCTCTTGGCCTTGACATCCTTCCCTGCAAATCAAGGTCTTTCAGGAGCTTGAGAAACCCTGGACAGGTGTCCACATTGTTGAAGGTGACAGTCAGAGCCTTTCAGAACAAAATAAACCAGCTGCTTCTGCAGAGCCCGGTGGTGCCCTTGGAGCAGTGTCCTTGGAGAGGTTGCTGCTCAACACCACAGTGTGTCATGCAGACAGAAGCAGCCGTGGAAGGAAGAAAATGGCGAACTAACTGGCATGGAGTTGTGTTTCTTGGAGTGCAGCTGATTTCTTAGATGCTGTGCTGTGCTGGCCCGAGAGGCCTGCCTGAGATCAATCCTGTATTTCTCTTCCTGACAGGAGAGGCATGTCTGAAAGTGGCACGAATGCCTGCAAGCTGGACAAGGAGCATCCATGGTCCATGGGGCCATGCAGGATGGAGCCCAGTGCACCTTTGTGTGGAGAGCCTCACAGTGTGGCCCGGACCCTGCCTGAGAGGGTCCAACCATGCTGTGGGCATAGGCTAAGTTTCTTCTCTTCTCTGACCAAAAAACTGAGAGAAATGCTGAGGTATCCTGTGGGCCATGGGCTGTCTCCTCCTCCACCCTCAGTGACCCCTTTCCAGGCTTTGGCTCAACTTTTCTCTCCAGCTTTGCTTTCAGCCCTTCCCTGATATCTTAGCCACTTTTTGTTGCTGGGACGCAATAACTGATGCCCACAACCTAAAGGAGGAGAGGTTTACCTTAACCCACAGAAGCCTGGGGTTCAGTCTGTAGTCTGTTAGCTCCAAAGCCACAGTGTGTGTGTATGTGTGTGTGGGTGTGTGTGTGTGTGGGTGTGTGTGGGTGTGTGTGGTAGGAGGTCTGCAAAGGATGGCTGCTCTCATCACGGTGGCCAAGAAACAGAGAGAAGGGGGAGCTGGGTAGGAGACACACCCTCCCAGGCCACAAGCCTAGTGACCTGGCTCTTCCCACTAGGCCTTCTCTCCAGACAGCTCTGGATTCATCTGTGGCTTAATCCACCAATGAATATAGACCCTGTCATGATCTTGTTTCCTTCCAAAAGCCCATCTCAGAACACACAAGACTCTTGGGAGCATTCTCGGTCTAAACCATGACACCTGGATGTTGGAGCTGCTCAGTGCCCAGCCTTAGCATAGTCCAAATGCTGAAGCCCATTCTTCACTGTCCACGATCAAGCTGGTGACACCCAGGTTTGCCCTTGAACTCCTCACACCTGGCTCCAGCTTCGGCATGTCCTGTCTAGATCCTGCTTCACACCCTGCTTTCTCTCCATGTTCCTGCAGAGAATGTACCCTGAGACTATCCATTTAGAACCAGGACAGTGTCTACCATCCATACTTGCCCTCATCATGCTTCCCCTTTGAGGGTCCCACCTGGGGACAGCAGGTGTCTGTGCCCATTCCTCACCCTGGGTCCCTGCTGTGACCCCCACCTTCTCACCCTGTGTGCACAGGCTGTCTGCCAGCCTCACCATGGAGGACCCCACTTCTGCAATGCGCACTGTACTGTGCTTCCTCCTATAAGCTCTTCCTCCTAGGTCCCCCCAGCTCTCAAAATCAAGTTCAGCTTCTATAGCACAGCACATGGGCTGGGGAGATGGCTCAGTGGAATAAGCACTTCCCTGGCAAGCGCAAGGGCCTGAGTTCAATCCCTGGTTCCGCCAAAAATAAATAAATAAATAAATAAATATAGCACAGTGCAGGTAACCCTCTCAGAGCTGGACCCCTCTCACCTGGTCTTCTTTTCTACCCATCTCCCTTCTAACTCTGCCATGTCATGAGTTTCTAGGATGCGCCAGCCTGTTCCAAGGTTGTGCCTCTGAATATCAAGCTCTTTCTCTCAAGAATCCCTTGTTCTCTTTTTCATTTATTGAATTTAGGGGGTATAAATAGCCAGCCTGAGGTCATATCTGGATTAAATATGTATTGGGGAGTTTGCATCATGCTAAGTCTTTTAAAAACCAGAGGCTGATGTTTAAAACTCAACAGACCAGTCACGACCAAGTGTCTTTTGCCTTCCAGGTGCTCTGGCAACATGGGGCCTTGGTAATTGCTGGAGTTGAGATGAAGTTGTGTTTTTTTCTGGGGCAGGGGTCCTGTGTTCCATTGTCTCACCACCCAACCCCACTCTCCCACATCACTGTGAGCTACACTGCTTGTGTAGATGGCCTTCCTGGATCCTGGAGCCACATACAGTAGAGATCCCTGGGCTCACCCTGGTCAAGCAGTGACACTCAGCCCCTGTCACCTTCTGCATAAACTTCTGTGACACAGATGCCTGCCCCATTCTGGGTATTGCAGGCCCTCAGGACCCTAGGATGTGGTGTGAGCCCCTTCTCAGTGACAGCAGGCAAAATCCCCCATCCCCAAATGAGGAAACAGTAGGCAGCAGGTGAAACACTCAGGACACAGTCCTCTTCCTTGTAATGTTCAGAAGCCAGCAGCTCTGGAAATGAAATGTCCGGAGACCTGTGCTTCCTGATTGTATGAAGCTGCTGCCTTGCTGGCTCACGGACAGGCCACCTGGTAGAGCAGGAAGAGGAAGCCAGGCCTAGGGTCTGGAAGGATGCTGACCACGGATGGGGTCTGCAGATATTGGCATCCGTCTCCACAGCTTCCACCCTGTGCTCTGTGGGATCCCAAGGGTCTGGCTGAAGCTGGAGTTGGAGGCTTTCTCCTCTGAGGGTCCTTCCTGAGAATAGCTCCTGATGGCCTTGGAGGAAAAGCCCAGAGCTCAGAGAATGAGTTCAAGCAGCAAATGTCACTGTAGATGACAGAGGAAGGGGACCCTCAAGGCCAGGGCTGCGTTGGTGTTAGAAGCAAGAGTCTGAGGTGGGCTTGAGAATGACTTTGCTTGGATGGGCAGTGGGGAGCAGAATGATGATCAGGTTTTCCGCTGCCCCAGCCTCCCCCACAGGCGTTCTTGTGGATGCCTTAGTCCTTTGTCCCCATGGTGACCATGGGTGGGGAGCATTGCTCTGACTTCCATTTCTCTGAGGGATGCTAAGCATCAAATCCCAGGACATACACAGATCAGAGGCTGCGGGAGGCCGAATTTGAACCCAGCCCCCCGACAGGCTGTCTGCAACTGGGTAACTAGGTGCAAAGGTGGCCGCGGTGGTGTAGGTAATCAGAACCAGAGTAGAGTCAAAGCCTCAAGGTGCAAACCTAGCACAACAGCAGGCAGCAGGGCCAGGGGATCCCCTCAGCGGGCTTGCAGCACTTGGGAGCAGCATTACCAGTCAGCATGAAAGGAAGAGAAAGGTGGGAAGCTGCGACAGGGAGCAGGAGTGTGCGCAGGGATCTAGGGTCGGCCCCTCTCACTTTATGCCTAATGCCTGTGCCCTCCTCACAAAGATGCAATGATTAGGGAGCCCCTCCTTGGCTGTTCCTGCTGCCTTGAGCGTCGGCACAGACCCCAAGGCCGGCTGGGGCTTGGAGGGAAAGGCAGAGCAGAGAGGCCTGTTGGGCCCAGGGAGTGGGGGTGAGCGCGGCTCCAGCTGGGGCCAATAGGCCAGCTGCCAGTGTTGGCTTCACAGGTGGGGCTGCCTGAGCCTCCGCCCCCTCCCATCTCCTGCCATCAATTTCCTGTGAGAATTTCAAGGAAGAAGACTTGGAGTGAGCCCAGGCAGGAGGGTGGGGAGCCTGCCTGCCTTCGGGGTTTGGCATCACCCGGAGCCAAGCAGAACTCTTGACTTGTTGGCTTCCCTACACAAACACAGCGGGTGGGGAGGGGGCTGATCCTATTTTCCTGGACAGATCAGAACCTCTGATGAAACACGCCAGCCCCAGAGGGGCTGAACCATGGCCCACCCAGGATCCGCGGAGCTTTGGGCCAACATGGGCAGAGGATGCCCAGGTAGCACCTGACCAGGGGGCAAAGAGAAGGGACGCAGCCACTCTGTTTTCCTGACAGAAATGCCTCCTTGACAAAATACTGTAAAAGAGCTGAGGTAGCAGAAAAGAACACGACTAAGGTGTGAACCTTAGTGCTGCCTTAAGTAGCAGAGGCTGCAAAGCCAAATTTCCTCCTTAAAATGAGTAAACTGTGAAGGCTGAGAGGTAACGAACACAGACACTCAGCTTGGCAGACACCGGCCTTGTTTTACTTTTATTATTGTTCTTGTTAAAACTCTTCTGAGAAGCAAGTAGTTATAGCCACACTCCACTCCCTCAAGCCTTTTGTCCTCAATAGCACGCATTTATTGAGCACCTACTACACGACAGGTGCTGAGCTAGAAAGCAGACACACAGCGTTCAGTTCTAAGGCTCAAGGAAAAGAGTGACAAACACCTGCTCATGCCTTGCGGGGTGCATGGAAGAAAACACACGAGAAGCAGAGAGCACGCTGACGGCGTACTGAGGAGCGGGCAGAGCCAGGCCTTTTTGGGAGGTGGCGCTTGGCAGAACCCCGAAGGAGGAGGGGGCGCCATCCCTGCAAAGCACTGTGGGAAGAGTCTCGGGCAGAGCTTAGCGAGGCCATGATGGGCGAATGCATCCCAGCGCCTTTCTTTGAACTCCATGATGTCCTGGGCCTCCTCTCCAAGACACGATCTCTGACCCTTCATCTAACCTTGTCTACCTCCCACCAGTTAATGGGTCCTATTTCACTTCAAGGTTG